AGGAAAACTATGTCCACTACTACCCCTGCATCTAATGATTTAGTGATCTGATCATAGAAGGCCACCAGGTTGGTCTGACAGGACTTGCCACTAATGAACCTGTGTTGGTTGCCCCCAAGCATGATCTCCCCTGCTGGCCCCTCGTGGATATGCGCCAGAATAATTTTCTCAAAAAGCTTGCCCAGGATCGAGGTAAGACTAACTGGCCTATAGTTTCCCAGGTCCTCCTTCTTCCCCTTTTTGAAGATGGGAACCACGTTAGCCCTCTTCCAGTCCTCTGGCACCACACCAGAGCACCACGAGCGCTTTATCATTAAAGCGCTTTAGATAATGTGCATTAAATCTAGTACCTCCATTGTGAGGTACTAGAAAAATGTGCATTAGCCTATTTTAATCTGCATTAACTAAAGACCTCTGGGTGCCTACACATGAGAGCAGAGGTTGCTCCCATGTACTGAAATTTATTGAGTCTGCTGGAACGTGGCAATTGCTGTGCTTGAGCAGCCTCCTGCATTTCATGTATCGGCATCCCCACACTGAAAAGTGGCGGTAGGGTGCTTGCACTAACACTTGTCAAATGAGTTTTAGTTCAAGTGCCCCTGCTGCCATTTTTAAGCATGGGGATGCTGATACATGAGACACAGCTGTGCCTTAATTAGAGCAGCTCACAGATCTCCTCTAATTAAAGCACCACCCACCCACCCCCGAAGCATGTAAGTGCCCATCACTTTTTTGTGACACTTTAATGCACATTAAAATAGGCTAATGTGCATTAAAGTGCACATGTAGACACACCTTAGTTTCTTTAAACACCCTTAGGCACTTTACCATAATTATTGAAACCTACAGTGCTAACTCCAGAGGTGATACACAAGGAAATTTTAAGTTATGTCAGTAAGAGGATCTAATGGGGAGTTTAGTTAAGGTAACTTACAAGACTAGAGACCCAATGATTACTTTCACCAATGCTTGCAATTGATACAGCAGGCCACTGGGATGTTTTAAAGAGGGCCTGAGTAGTGAATATTTGTGGAGAGAGAGGTTGATGATGGCTGGAGGCTTTTGTTTTCACTTGTTTATAACTTTACTATTCTTTAATCACCAGGGCCCAAAATTTTCATTTCTGCCATCTCTCAAGTTATTTATTAAAATTTGGGGATAAACAGTTAAGCAAAATCATAATTGTTAAGAAGGAGGGTAGAGAGAAAGTGGTCTTGCCCACGTTATAAAATTCTAGCAACCATTTCTTTGTGAAGTTTTACCACCTCTGTCATTTCTTGAGGTCTCTCTGAATCCTAGCTCTACCCTTCAGCGTATCTACTACACCCCCCAGCTTGGTGTCATTTGCAAATTTGCTGAGGATGCACTTCCTCCCATCTTCTAGATGATAGATGAAGATATTGAACAAAACCAACCCCAGGACTGGCCCATGGGGCACTCCACCCAATACTGGCTGCCACCAAGCCATTGATTACCACTGCCTCTTGAGTGCCATGATCCAGCCAGTTTTCTATCCGTCTTACAGTCCATTCACTGAACCCAGACATCCTTTGCTTGTTTGCAAGAATGCTGTAGGGAGACAGTATCAAAAGCCTTACTAAAGTCAAGGTATATCATGTCCACAGCTTTCCCCGCATCCACAGAGTCAGTCATCTCACCATAGAAGGCAGTCAGGTTGGTCAGGCATAACTTGCCCTTGGGGAATCAATGCTGACTGTTCCTGAACACTTTCTTCTCCTTTAAGTGCTTAGAAATGGATTCCTTGAGGACCTGCTGCATGATTTTTCTGGGGACTGAGGTGAGACTGACTGGTCTGTAGTTCTCTGGATTCTGTTTCTTCCCTTTCTTAAAGATGGGCATTATATTTGCCCTTTTCCAATCTTCTGGGACCTCCCCCAATCACCGTGGGTTTTCAAAGATAATGGCCAGGAGTTCTGGTTACTGCTGAACACTTAACTTTACAACCTTAATGCTATTTTAATGTAGTTCTCTGTGATATAAATATAAAACTATATAAATGCCTCCAGATGATAAACAGATAAAGATACCATCCTCAGCATAATCTTTAAACCTACTCCATTATACACCATGAAAAAATAACCCCCTATATGTTTGATGTAACATCCAGTATGAATTTGATCCCAATCAGTATTCTAGTATAAAATCATGACCTATCCCATACTTCAATAACTGGTTTATATGACCTAAAGGGAGGTATTCAACACCGCCCAAGGTATAGTGGTATGTTTGTAAGGTCTAACTGCACTTTGTAGAAGAGAAGGATTACAATGCTAGTTGTGCTTTTGTACCCTTCTATGTCTCCTTTAAATTGATAGCATTTTACTGTATGTTACACAGGTAAAGTACAGGGAAGAACTTAAACAAGCCACAGCTATTTCTGATCCCCCAGAATTAAAGAGAGTCAAGGAAAACCAGAAGAATATTAGCAATGTGAGATGCATTTATTACTTGTGGGATCTTTTCTATTGCGTTAAATGCCTTGATGCCTAAATCTATGGTGTTTGTATTAATTCTGCTTTGTCTGTAGGACTAATTAAACTACTTAAGTGGATAGCCTTTTTCCTAGTGTTTGAGCTTATATTAACAGTAATGGGAATGACCTACTAACACCAAAATAACATTACTTTCTAGGTGTGTGAATTTGAACATTTGCAGAAGGCCTGTTTATAAGTGCCATCTGGATTAAAGTGAGCATCTGTGAATGAATAACATTTCTAGTGAAATGCATGTGTGTTATGTACTGTGTTCTAACATAGTGCAGTGTTTCTGTTGTTTGGAACTCCATCTATATCTAATGCCCTGTTTCCCAGGTCCAGTACAAAGAGCAGCACTGTAAAGCTACATCTGTGATTGTCACCCCTGAGATCGAGAGAGTCAAGAAGAATCAAGAAAATGTCAGCATGGGAAGTTACCCTATTTTCTTATTGTACTCCCACGATTTAGTGCGTTCTTGCAAAGCAATCTCCCCCGTGCTGTGTGTTGTTTGAATTAAGCCTGTCCTCGATAATGAAAAACACATACCTATACTTTTCTCTCAGTGGATCAGTAGCAGTTTATGGTTTAGTCAGAGTAATAGTTTATGGTTTAGTTTTTTACTAGAACATGATATCCAAACTTCAAGAAATTCTTCAAGTACTTTTCTTAAGTCTTTTCTAATATTTTAACATCCCTTTCGAAAAGTGGAAACCAAAATGGAAGAAGTGTTATGATGTCATCAGTGCCACGTACAGAAGTCTTCTAGCATTTTAATCCTACTTGACACTCTCCAAATTTACATAGAAGAGCCAGGTTTGTCCTCTTAGGCCTTTGGCAGACATTAAAACAATAGCACCATTGTGATATGAGGAATTTTATACCTCAGACCTGTATTTTACAGGATGCTTAATGTTTGGAATGAGGCATAAAATTCCTGAAATCCCTGTCACACCACTGCAGGACTGCCCCCAGCCCTATTGTATCAATCAGGCAGGAGATGGCTCTGTCATAGAGCCTGAAGTTGCCCTGTTCTGAATCCCAATGCTCAGCTGAGTGTTGGGCTTGGGCATGGACAGCTCCAGGTCCCAGTTTGGAACTTGAAACTGCCCCCAGCCCAATCTTGAGAATCAGGCTGGTGGTAGTTTGGGGACCTGTGCTTGTCTGGGGATGGTGCCAACAATCAGCTGTCCAGTTCAAGACCTGGGGCTATCCTGGGCCAATGCCAATGATCAGTTGATTGTCAGCACCATTCCAGACAGTCCTAGGTCTTATTGGAAACCCAGTTTGAGACCCAGGTCCAGGTGGAAGCCTCATTTGAAACCCAGGTTTGTCTGAGGCCAGTACTGACAATCAATTGATTATCAGGTCTGGCTCCAGACAGCCCCGGGTCCAGTTGGAAATACAGGATTGTCTGGGGCCAGTGCTAACAAGCAGCTGATTGTTGGAATGGGTTGAGGCAGCCTCTGTCTGGAGCATAATACAGGCCATATGTTCAATTTAGGGTGCCATAGAAACTGGCCACAAATATGTTCTACATTATATGTGGAACATCTTTGTGGTATATTGGCCATTTTGTGGCATCATAAATTGGCTGAACGTGTAGCATGTTATAATTTATTGTACAACTACCAAGTTGTTAATACCATAAATTCAATGTCTGTCAAGGGCTTAAGCGACAGCACTATGCTGGAAATTACCTTCATCAGCTATCGGACTGGGAATCGTTTCCTTAAATGTTGGCAGGGTGGCATTTTTATGGAGAAATATGTGGATAATTGGTACTGTATGTTACTAATTTCACTACTTCCAAATATGTGTTGACAAACTAATCATTCCCATGTGGTGGATCTTCTCCAGTACATATTACCTAAGAGCCCATACATGCTACAGACATGCTTTGTTGCACCCTCTAAGATGTATTCCCACTTGGAGAGCCTAGAAATCTAAATGATTATTGTTTAGAAAAATAACACATGAAGGTTCTGATGACTGTGACATTCCAGCCTGTAGTAGTGGCTTGTAAGATCTAACAGTGCATTAGGTAGGAGAGGATTACTAAACATTTGCTGTGTTTTTATGCCCTGCTATTTCTCTTTTAAACTGGTAATATTTTACCATGTTTTACACAGGTGAAGTATAAAGAAGAGATTAAACAAGCCACAGCTATTTCTGACCCCCTGGAATTAAAAAGAGTCAAGGAAAACCAGAAGAATATAAGTGATGTGCGACCCTTATTTATTACTTATTACTTGATCTTGTCTGTTTTAAATGCCTTGATGCCTAGATGAATGAATGTTGTTTGAATTAATTCTGCTTTATCAGAAAGACCAATTTATTCACTTAAGAAGACAACCCTGTAACTCAGTGCTTGAGCTTGTATTAACAGCAATGGGAACTTTCTACTTGCACAAAAATGACATTATGTGATGGGTGTGAGCATTTGTAGAAGGAATGATGATAAGTGCCATCAGGTTCAAAGTGAGTGTCCATGGATGAATGACATTTCTAGCAAAATGCATGTGTGGTGTTCAGTGTTTTTGCGGCATTAGAGTACTGTTTTTGGGTACCTTCATATGTTACATTTAGATAGATATAGCTAGGGTTAGGTTGATCTAAATGATCATCTGTTCAGATGTTTGGGGAGGTTTAAATCAGGCCCAAAATGGTGGACTCAATCTAAATTAGTTCACCTGAGTAGGTGAATTAAGTTAGATCATGAACACGGTAACCCAATCCAGAGAACATCTACACACGTCTAGAGTGAAGTCCAAGGCCGGGAAAGCCCAGCTGCTTGTTCAAGCCCTAGCCCTGTGCTCTTCCTGCCCTCCCCTCCCTTCCCCTTATCTGGCAATTTTTAACCCCCTTCCCTTCAACTCCACCCATTTCCAGATAGGACAACACCCCCACAGATCCTCTAGCTCTCCTGATCCTGCCCACCTCTCCCCCTCCACCCTCAGTGGTTTTCCAGTGCAGCTTCTGGTACTGGTGAATGCCTGCATGTGTCACTCTGTCATAAGCAGTGGGAGAAAAGATTATTTGGGGGTGGTGGTGTGGGGCATGCCCGCCTGACCCCCACCCCTCCTTCCTTCAGGGACATTGTGGGGGAACAGCGTGCGCTGGTGTTGTGTGTGCAGAGTGTGTGGCAGGGTTGCTCGGTGTGGCACTGTGGTGGCTGGGTGTGGCAGTGGCGCTGTCACCATCCACTGCAAAATTAGTTTGTGGGGGCTAAGCCCCATTAGCCCCAGCCTTCTGCCACCAATGTTTCCTGTCTCCAATCACATGACTTAAAGCAAGCTGCATGATCATAGACTGTGTGCAGTGAACGTTTTGTACATATATTTTGTTGCTTTGAACTCCATCTATAATATTTCATACCCTGTTTCTCAGGTCCAGTACAAGGACCAGCTCTGCAAAGCTACACCTGTGAGTGTCACCCTTGAGACTGAGAGAGTCAAGAAGAATCAAGAAAATGTTAGCATGGGAAGTTGCTTTAATTTTTTCTTATGGTATCTCAAGCATTAGCAGTTTCTTCCAAGTCAGTCCCCACCATGCTTTCTGTTTTCGTTAGTTGAGCATGTGTTTAATAATGAAAGACACTTAAATATAAATATATTTAAGTATTTCCTGTAATAGATCAGCAAGAGTAACAATTTTTAAAAGATCTATTAACCAGGTCATTGCATGGTTCAGGAAATTAATTAGGTGCAATATTGTTCCTGGCCAAACAAATGACCATGACTAATTTTATTTATTTATATTTTAATTTAAACAAAGTAGTATTTCAGCCAAACCCATTCTTCCTGTTCCAGTAATAAATCTGCCTGATACAGTCCACTACATTTTCTACTGGTGAAAACAGATTAGTTAATCAATGACAATTGTTCCTTTCACCTTCCTACCCCCTCCTCCCCACCTAAAAAAATAACTTAATGATGATTGGTGTTAGATATCAAAAACAACGATCATGATGTCTTATTCCTTCCGGGGAAGAAGATGTAGAAAAAAGCAGGAAATTTATTAAACGCATTTTTGCACCCTTGTGTAGTTGAAGGATCATCTTTGTACTTCCTGTTCTGTCTTCTAAGGGCCAACCACTATCAATAGAAGGACTTCCAAGAGACATAAGTTTCATAGTTTCTAGGGTCGGAAGGGACCTTAGCAGATCATTTAGTCCGACCCCCTGCCATGGCAGGAAAGCGTACTGGGGTCAAACGACCCCAGCAAGGTGTTCATCTAACCTCATCTTAAAAACCCCCAGGGTAGGAGCCAGCACCACCTCTCTTGGTAGTTGGTTCCAGACCCTAGCCGCCCTGACCGTGAAATAGCGCCTCCTGATGTCTAACCTAGACCTACCCTCTGCCAGCTTGTGACCGTTATTCCTGGTCACTCCTGGCAGTGCTCAGGGGAACAGTGACTCCCCCAATGCCTGCTGATCCCCCCTGACTAGTTTATAACAGGCCACAAGATCCCCCCTCAGCCTTCTCTTTTGGAGGCTGAACAGGTTCAGGTCCCGTAGCCTCTCCTCATAGGGCCTGCCCTGCTGTCCCCTGATCATGCGAGTGGCCCTCCTCTGGACCCTCTCCATGCTGTCCACATCCCTCTTGAAGTGCGGCACCCAGAACTGGATGCAGTACTCCAACTGCGGCCTGACCAGTGCCGCATAGAGGGGGAGGATCACCTCTTTTGACCTGCTTGAAATGCATCTGTGGATGCATGACAAGGTACGGTTTGCCTTCCTAACTGCCTCCCCACACTGCCAGCCCATGTTCATCTTGGAGTCAATGATGACTCCAAGATCCTTTTCTGCCTCCGTGCTGACAAGAGGGGAGTTCCCCAATCTGTAGGTTTGGTGCCGGTTGTTCCTCCCCAGGTGCATCACCTTTGAACTTGTCTGTGTTGAAACCCATCCTATTCTTATCCGCCCAGGCTTGTAACCTGTCTAGGTCAGATTGTAGCCTGTTGCTTCCTTCTAGTGTGCCCACGTCCCCCCACATCTTAGTGTCATCAGCAAATTTGAACAGGGTGCTTTTTACCCCCTCGTCCAAATCACTGATGAAGATGTTAATGGGACTGCTAGCAGCTACAACATGTCAATGACAACTGATGTTCATTTAGTTATTCATCATGATTCATTGATCCATTCAGAGTTACTGCTTTCCAGAAAACAGTCCAACTGCCACTTTATCTGTGATCTTCATGCTTTGTTCCTAGATGTGCAGTCTTTTATGGGTATTTTAATATTGTATTATATACTTCTTGTTTAATGTTCTCCCCTTACCGAGTGATACAGGTAAGTTTATGTAGCTGATCCATCCATATCATTGTTTATCATTCCAGTTTTTGTATTATTTGTCAATTTTATAAGCAATGATTTTATATCTTTCTTTCAAATTATTTGGGTCCCTGCCACATGTTACACAATTAACGTTAATCATGTAATCAATTTAGATTGGCCACATGTGCCAAATAGTTATCACACCATAAAAATGTCTATTCAGCTATAAAAAGACCGAAACAGGTATAGAGTTGGTATTGAAAATGTGTGACAACTCTATAGCTGGTTTCTATCCAGTTTTAATTTGAATATGTAGCAGGGTCCTTAGGCAGTAATTTCCTGTTTACAATTACTGTTGTAATCTACCAGGTACCCAGTTTTTAGTGCACTTAATATATAGTCTGCACTGGTTTTCAGTTATACTATTTTTACATACTGTCATGTATGTCAGAATATGCCAGTGCTGTCATGGTCCACCAGGCTGGCTTGCCTAGTGGGTAGAGCTGGTCATGGAGCTGGGGTAGAGGGGTTACAGGCGTAAGGGTCAGAAGCCACAAGTTAGGAGCCAGAATGCCAATCCAGGGTCAGGAGCTGGGAATCAGAAACCTGGCTACCAAGTCTGAAGAATAATCCACAGGGCAAAGTCCAAGAGTAAGCCAAGCTGGGGTCATGAGTCAGGAAACAGGTCTGCAAGGAGAATCTAAAAGCCAAAAATCCAGGAGCAAGCCAAAGGCAGGGTCAGGATCTAGGGAATCCAGAGATATTGCTGGGACAGGAGCTGCTCAGAGACTGCAGCAAGGCTTAGGTGCTGGAGGAGTTCCTTAAATATAACTGTAGAACCAATCAGAGGGAAGGGGCTGGGGATCAGCTTGCCTTGATTAGTGGTAACTGGATCCACATACTTAACAAGGGCTGCAGGGCAGGAGTCTGACTGAGTCTCACAGAGTTCATCTAGGCTGCAGTGCAAGAGGTTTGCAAGCATGGTTACCTTTATTGACCAAGCTTGAGATATCATAAAAAATTAGACATTTGTTTAAGAAGACCTGCTTTACATTAAATCATGTTGATTCACATGGATTCTCCTACCTTCTTTTAATTCTTCACTGAATCCCTGCCAGTTTAGCCTTCCAGGGGTTTTGCCTGTAGTTCTTAAGTCATGTAGTTTATAGTGTTGAAATATTGGCATGATGTTGACCATGAATTTTTTTTATTGAATTATCTTTGGAAATGAACATCCTTAAAAAAAAAAGTGGAGACAGATTCTCATTCTGCAAAATACGTTTCAGTAACCTTAAGTGAGATTTTTGACAATTGATTTTAATTCTCTCTGTATGCCTATATACTATACACAGTCATCTTGCATTATACTCCAGCTTGTCTTTCATGAGCAGTCACCTCGGAAAATAGCGTGTAAAAGCTGGAACCATGGATGTATCCTTTATGTGGTTGTTGCATTTGTATATGTACATATTTATGGTGAGTGCTATTAAAATTTTGAGACTTCCCTTGCTGTAACTGAATGTACAGAAACAATTATGTTATAACCCATTCTAAGCTTAGGGCTGTAACTCCTACCTTTTTTGGTTTGAAGCACCCTTCAATACATTCAAGGTATCCCTTGATAGAGTCGAGGCACCCCTCAGAAAGTGTCAGGTCTTGGCTGCCTAGAGACATACTCTGATGCATTCTAATTAGAACGCATTGCAGCAGACTCGGTTAATCTAGTCTGTTCCATATTCTAACTGGAATGCTCTAGCATCACCGCAGTATCATGTGTATTAAGCCCCTTCCCCCCACACCCCTGTGTTTCAAAATGGCCATAGGGGTGCTTTAACTAAAGCTTATTAAATGAGTTAAAGGGTCCTTCATCCATTTTTAAATGTGTGGGGGCTTAATAAACGTGATGCTGCAGTGTTTTAATTACAGTGGCTCTCTGGGAACCACTTTGATTAAAATGCTCCCGACCCTCCCACCCCATAGCATGTGTGTAGGCAACCTTAGTTTTCACTCTTATATTCTAAATATAGAAAAATAATAGAGCAGTTTTTCTGTTGCAGAGAACTCAGAAAGAGGACACCATGTCCAAACCACAGCACCCTGATTAAGAATTGCTGGCATAGGGACTACCATAAACACTGGAAAATACTAGTGTGGGAAATGTCAAGATATTATGGGTGTATATCGTCATGTTTATACACATCACAGAGATCCATAGTAAGAATTCAAGGTTATACTTCAAGACTCAGTGTTTTATAAAACTTAACAAACTGAAAATGCAGTTTAGTCTTTGTTTCCCACATGATCTGTTATATTTTATATTTAAATGTAATGCAGTCTGATTATGTTTTAATAGATTGCATACATTTTTATTCTGTTGAATAATAGATTCACTATAGAAAGCAGCCTGGCAAAGCTACTGCTGTGAGTGTCACTCCTGAGATGGAAAGAGTCAAGAAGAATCAAGACAATATCAGCGTGGCAAGTTCTCTGAATCTTTCTGTTCTCTGAAACTTTTGGTTACTTTATGAGTATAACAGGAGAAACTTGAGGAAGGATATTTGATACCCAAAAGTTCATCTAAGTGTGTCCCAACCTCACAGATGGTTCAATAAAATATATAAAAAATCCTTGCTCTCAAGTGTAACGGGGGTACACTTTTCAGGTGGGATTTCATTTAACAGGTGACAGTTGTTTGCATCAGCTATTTGGATATGCAGGCCCAGAACCCATTTCTATTAGACAGCTAAGGGTTTGTCTATACAGCCTTTGCAGTGGTCTTGAGAGTCCCACCATGAAGTACATCTTTGCTCACTTGCTTCCACTTCAAATCTGGAAAAAGGCAGTGAAATTCTGAGCTTGTCCCTGCTACTTTCAAGTAAAATGGAGACAGGAAAACCAACACCAGTGGCAGGGAGTCACCCTCCAAGTGACTTCACTGCCTCTTTTCTGGATTTGACATGCAAGAAACAGTAGTAAATGGGCACAACAGTCTTCTCAAGAGTCTGTGGGGGGCAACTGTATGAGACAGCTAGGCGTATAGGCATGGTCTTACTCCAGGATTTTGAATTCCAGTAAATGTTTTAACGTGTTTGCTTGTGTAATGTGTTTTCATTTTAGCTTAGTCACTGAAAACAGCAATGAAAATTCACCAACGTTTTGCTTCTCTCCTTCCTGCTCCCCCTTCCTGCCTGCACCTGTTAGGGTAGCAGGGGATGAGGAGAACTGTGTTCAATAACTGCCACAGCAGCAGCCAATGCTGGTAGAGATGGTTTAGACAAGGAAATAGAAAATGTGTACAGTCAGGACTTGATTTACACGGTGGTTACATTCTTGAAAAAACACCATGCAAATAGAAATTGTGTAAAAAGGTACCAAGGGTCTATGAAAAATAAGGGTTTAGGTTCCAGATGCAGCCAGTAATTTGGCCGATAAATGCCTTTGTGTGCGTGCCTGCATGGTGCTCTGTGGCTGCAGCAAGGAGCAGAGCCCTGCAGCTTGGAGAGCTGTGTGCAGCTGGTAAGTCTGGTGTGGTGGGAGGGGAGGGGCGTGAGGGGGCAGATCAATGCCCCCCATGGTGAGGAAGGAGTGGGGCAGAGGCAGACGCTGCCTGGACGAGCACGGGACGAAGCCGCGGCTCATCTGGGGGGCATGGGAGGGGGGCTGTATGTACCCTGGGAAGGCGTGGAAGAGTCACGTGCCCCCGGATCTGCATGGGGTGGAGAGGCAGGCTGCAGCTGTGGGCTGGAGCTGAGGCTGCGCTGGGCTTCTCTCAGCGGTGGGGCTGGGCTCAGGGCAGGTGGTGGCAGTGCTGTGAGGGTGCTATGGGGGGGCTGCAGCCACTCCACATTTCACTGTAGCCCCCCTGTAGCTCCCTTCCAGTGCCATCACCACCCACCCAGAACACAGCCTGGCTCAGACCCCACTGAGAGGAGCCCTGTGCAGCCCTGGCTTCAGCCCACAGCTGCAGCCTGCCTCTCCCCACCCTCTGCGCTCTTCCAGGGTGCATGCAGCAGCAGGAGCCCCCCCGTCCCAGCTGGGCAGTGCCTGCCCAAGCCTCTTCCCCACTTCCTCCCTCACCATGGGGGGCATTGATCTACACCCCAACACCTCTTCCCTCCCTCCTCTCCTTCCATCACAGCACAAGACACTTATCAGAGGGGAGGTGGGAAGTGCATCTTGGTGACCACACTGCACCATATAAAAGTAATCCATACCATGTACAAAAATAAAGGCTGGCAGTTAATTAACTCTGCATAACTGAAACCATGCAAAAAATACTATGTAAATCAAGGCCTGACTGTAATAATAATTTGGAAATCTATATTATAATACAGCTTTATACTAACAGTAATCTAAATGATGGCTTCACATGTTGTTCCTGTTTTCCAGGTTAAGTACAGCAGTGATCAGAGGCAGATGAAAGGTAGACCTAGTGTGATTCTAGACACACCTGAGCTAAGGCATGTCAGAGAAACACAGAACAACATCTCAATGGTAGGGTACACTCTTGTTAGAGTGCTGCTAGATTATACTAAGGAATGACACTTGACTGTACACTGGATTTTGCCCTTCATTAATCTAGGTAACTAATTAAACACTGTACTAAAGTTTGGAAACAATGCTTTTTCTCTTAGTCCTGCTGAAGACAAGATGTTTGCCAACTGCACATGACTGTAATGACATTTTCAAAATACTAATAAATGGTTTTCTAACAACTGACTGTTTGGCTTTTTAAAAACACTTCAGGCTGCTCCTCCATTTTGAACATCTCAGTTTGACTGGACTGGTGACACACAACCACTTTGTGCTTGTGCATGTTTTTGGTTTGCGTGTGACTTAGGACTTAAATTAATTGTGCTGAGTGTGTGTGTGTGTGTGTGTGTGTGTGTGTGTGTACATCTGTATAAATATAACTGATTATGTATTTAAAAAAAAGAATGTATAGTCAGGGATAATGCCTTTATAGCTGTTACTAATTCAGTTTTCTTCCAAGTTTGTAATGTAACAACTTTTCAACCTTCGTGTCCAATTTTTGAAAAGCAGGCTACATAGAAGAAGCTTTTAATTGCCTATATTCTTCATTTGGATCCAGCTAGCTGGTACCTAACAAGGAATGTTAAGGGGGAATGATTCTTTTCTATAAAACTCTGCATGTCAGCAGAAATTCTAATGAATTAAATGACTTTTTAAGAGTTCTTAAAAATCCTGTCAGATTGCTACCGGGGCATGCGCATCTTTAGAGATGCTGGTATTTATATACTTATCCTGGATCAGGCATGCTTGACCTGTAGCATATGCCACAAGCAGCATG